AAAGCCTAGGTCTGAAAACGGGTGTGGTAAATTAATTTTTTTGGTCTGAAATAGGGTCAGGATTTCGAGAACCAGGCGGCACACCCCCACCAAGAATTTCCAGGAGTACCCCTCCCCAGGGTGCTTGCTATCGGTGAAACGCCGCATGGAACCTCGTCATCAAATGGGCTCCAGTTATACATCTTTGATGGAGACATTTAGAGCACGAATTTAAGCAGTAAGAATGACCGTAGTAATCTTTAGATTTCTTTTCTAATATATCAAATTCTTTGTTATCTATTGTCAATATTAAGCTTATTTCTGAGCGAAGACAATTGCTATTCTTTAAATGTTTTGAAACAGAGTGACGAAGCCCTGCCCAAATTAGGTAGTTAATCTTGCTAATTTTATTCGAAACAATAGTAAAAGAATTTGTGGTGTCTAATTCAAACAAAAGATCATTTACGAAAATGACATCTTGTTCAAAAAGTGTTTTTTTTTTATAGAAAACAGGCTTATTATCAACACGTATCTCTTTGTTATTCCACAAAATATATTGACATTCCCTTCTACTATCGAAAACATTACGAAAATCACACCACCATTGAAGTAACCCGGAATAGAATTTAGAGGAAATATGTACCTCTTTAATGTCATAATTACAATGAAATAAAAAGAGACCCCCAAAAGGTTCCAACGAAAACCGTAACTAGCTTCTACAAGCACCATTGTTGCACTGGAAGATCCTTTTCAGCCAGGCCAGTCGTAAAGATTTAATCATCAGTACTTTCCAGATCGATCATTTTTAAACCACCGTTTTCATATTCGTTAATTGTGGAAAGTCTTGTCTTGTCTTGTCAAAATTTAAATATCATTTGATTTAACTCTTTTACGTACAGTTTCCTTGAAGACCGTCAGAAGGGAGGAAATGTAAACAAATTTTGGTATGATTAAAGACTTGATAATTACTTTTCCATAGATAGAAAGACCTCTTGAAGACCAAATGTTTATAATTTTTTTGACACTGTCCAATCTCTCAATAAAATTTTTTTCGTGCAAAAGTTTGATATCGTATGAGTAATAAACACCAAGGGCTTTGATTGGTTAATCAGGCCATTTTATACCAAGTTTTATCTCTAGACGACCCGATCCACATTCCTTCAGTTTTAGATGAGTTAATTACAAGTCCTGATAAGTTCTTGAATACTTCGAGAAGGTTAAAAAGGGCCTGTGCCGAGTCAATGTCAGACAGAACGGCCGTTGTGTCATCAGCATATTGAAAGAGTTTTGTT